TATTCAAATTCTATCTTCATTCCATTTTTTCTTCTTCATTCTTCTTGTTAATCTCAGCACATTCTGATATTTTTTCTTTTTACTCCTAATACAATTCAGCTTTTCGAATTCTGTAATTTCTATTTTTCTTTTTTTTTTATTAAACTTCTACTTAACGAATACAATTTTCATTTAATTCTAAATTAACTACTCATTTTTTTCATAAATTCTAAGTCAATGGCAGGATTCGATCCAAAGATCCCTTATATTGTAGTACAAATCTGATTTAATGAAAAATGCCTGAATCAGAAGAATGTTTTATCCTGTTCCTTGAAAATAATAAAACAAATTGAACATTTGTGTCGTGTACTAAACGTAAGTTTATTTATTAGAAATGATTTCTATATTATTCGTTGTTTCTATAAATCTTTGAAGTTATTAAAATGGAAAATATTTTTTAGGCAAAACAGATATTACAGCTGTTTAAAGAATGAGATTATATAACCAGCGAAAAGGTAAAAAAAAGATACAAGCAGTCAATGAATGCATGTTAATTTTAATTACACGAAGTTCTTCAAACACAATTATTACATGATAAATGAAGATGCAAAAACAATATTTGTTTAGGCGTTGTTTAACATAATCCATTGTGTGAACGAATATTATAGAATTTATTAATCAGCAATTACTTCATTTTTCTAATGAAGGTTTGTTTCTGAATGCTCATTACAATGACAAACCGATCATGTCGCATTTGAAGTATGACTTTAATTACATTATTGTTTTTAAATATTATACAAATTTTTAATGCTATTATAAATATATAATTTATAATTTATCATTATATAAATGTGTATAATGGTTGATACTAATAAATGTGTGCATCACGAGTGTTACCATATTACTAATGAACAATATTCAAAATTGTTATATGATGTATTTATTTTTACTTAAATGCCATCTTGTACAGTGGCAAATAAGTTTTACTTCACCTTACGCTCAATCTGTTTTTTTTTACTTGTTTCATCTGTTATCAATCTATATATTTATTTATTACAAAATTCGTCTCTGGTTTTGTTCGCAGTAGCAATATAAACGCCTTTGCAGTTGCAACATCTGCCTTTGCAATAATTAACATAACAATTACAGATTAGTTGCAAGTTGCAATAAGCTGCAAGAGAATATTAATTTTGTGAAAGCCAGAAGTCGGAATCGATCATTCTTTGTTCCTGGATTGATTTTTGTAGGAATTGCTAATGATAAGGGAAATATATTTATCTATTTCATACAACGTTTTATTATTACTATCCAAAGTTTCTTAGTCATATCACGTATTACGAAATGTTAATTTCAAAAGCAAATGCGTGTACAAGAATTGCCTACAAATGATGTGTTTATTTATTTTAACGATTGATCCAAGATGTTCTTCGAATCCAAAAGACATTGAGGAAAGGAAGTTGGACAATATATATATATATATATATATATATATATATACACACTTATAAACTTGCTATTAGGTGCCCTATAAGGCCTAACGGATACTGAATTCCTACTAGTAGTCATGTGTAATTAAGATTTGTTTAATAATTCAGCAAAAGTCATAGGATTTATTCGGTTTAGTTCGAATTTATATATATATATATATATATATATATACTAGATGACCCGACAGACGTTGTCCTGTACCCACGTCCACAATTCAAAAGTTCCAAATTTTTTTACATCCTATCCTATACATTTTAATATTCTATTTGATGTTCTGCCTTTGTGATTCATTTATGGTCTTAGCATAAGCAGTATAAAAAATTCAGAAAAAAATAATATACTATCTGCAGTAAAAGGACAATATCACATTTGATTTTACCAAACAACATAATTGCGTCAATATTTTAGTCCATAATTTTCATAATCTCGTACAATATATTAGTGGCTTTTTGGCAATTATAATTTCTAAAGTACATTTTTCTTACTAATAATTCAATAAACGTTATTGTTTATGTTTATATTTTAGGTGAAATAATTTGTAAAATCTAGTTCATATGTGCACTATTCAATCTAAGATCAACTAGCTAAATATTCCAAAGAAATGAATTTTTGACACATGAAACAAAATTCTAAATCATTTTTTTAATAAGTAGAAATATTTTTTTGTTGTGTTAAATAATTTAGTAAAGAAAACCAAAATGCGGCATGCATTAGTTTAAAAAAATAATGTATATGCAATTTTGGACTTATTGCGTTATTTATTAAACTGAATTATATAATTTCATCTGCCAAACATATACTGTTGACTGTATCTTTATTTATTTTAATTTCTGACACATCTCAGCTGCTTTTCCTGAATAATAACGTAGGCATTACATTTTTCTTGTATATTATATTCTTATAACATCCAGGTTCATAAATTCAGCGAAATTCAAATTTCAAGTGAATTGGCATTTTTAGCAAATGTTTTCAATGTCAAACAATGATAAGTGGTTTTTTGTAATTTTTGCCATTTATTTCTACAATATTACTATAGTTTTATCGTTCATTAAATGTTAAAAATTTCCTTTGACAAACTCTAGAAGGAATTATCAAAATCCGAATAACCGTTTAGGAGAAGTATCAAATCATACAACCGTACAGAAAAATTTTATATATAAGATATATATATATATATATATATATATATATGACTGTTGTTTCTTTACATTTTAATATTCAATATCTATTTTTTTGCAAAAATTGCTCTTTATGCAAACTATTTATAAACTAAGTACTGTTTGTGCGCAACGGAAAATATTATTATTTTGGGAAATTCGATAAATTATTCGATTAATAAAATGGCTATTATTTATATATTATTATTATTTTGCTATGAAAATTCATATCGTTTTAAAAATACATTTGTTCATCATCGTTCTATGTTTTATACAGATCAAAATGTTCGTATCAAAGAAATTATTCGATTTGTATCGAAAAAATGTGTTTTCGAATTTGCAAAATTTATAATTTTACACTTGTCCAAACCCTGGACAATTCTTATCAACAATGTTTAATTTGTTTGAGGAAATACCCTATTTATTTACATCTTTTATCTTTATAATATAAATGTGAACGATCCCGGATTTAATCATAGTAGTTATAAATTTCTTACAGAAACTGTGTTTATCTGGTCAAGGATACTTTACAAATAATTATGAAAAAGTGAGTTATCTAATATTTATATTTTTATATTTAAATTTAACTAGTGGTGTGTATGGCATCGTGCCATGAGGCAAATTGCTTGAACTTCCTGTACCGTAACGAAATGTTCGAGGAATACTGAATGTTTTCAAATAAATTATTATAAATATTGTAACATTGTCTAATATTTATAAGAATTATATAAACTAAGTTGCAAAGTTGAAGATATTTGTTTAAAGTATATTAGAACTTTAGTCAGAATCAAAATTAAAATCTGAATTATTTTCGATATGCAAAAAAAAATTGAAAGAAACGTTTTTTTTCCACAATCAATTATTTTGTTTAAACAAGCAGAAAGTTCTTTGAATCATTCAAATCGGACGCTTAGTTCTCTCAAAAACTGCCATTTTTTGCACATTTAGCTTTGTATCTCCGAAACCGCTGGACTTGCCTTTTGCAAAAACTAATCACCACTTCTTCCCGTCATTACATATACACACATACATCGATCGTCTCGTTTATTGTCTTTAATGACACTCTCTACAATTTTAATCTCTATATGTCACTATTTGTCTCTCACAATATATAATCTACTCACACATACATTTGTAACTATCTTGTTATTATAACACATCCATTTTTTCTAACGTATGCCTCAATGTTCAGGAGGTCTTGAAACGTAAAGATGTCGTCAAATTTTTATTTTATTTTTGGGAATTTTAAGAAATTAATATTAATAAGTCAGATATTATTAACTTCCCGTAGGATAAGTTATTGTAATCGTCCAAAAATCGAAATTGAAAATTTGTATATTTCTCGACGTTTTGAAGGTTTCTGAACATTTTGGCATACCTCAGAAAAAATGGATGTGTGTGTGTGTATATGTATGTATGGATACAATTTTTCATTCACGTTTTCGGGCGCACGGATCAACCGATTTGAATGGTTCAAAAAACATTCGATTTCTATTGGTAGGGAGAAGTGTTGATTAGTTTTTGGTAAAGGCAGGTCCAGCGGTTTCGGAGATACGGAGCAAAGAGTGCAGAAAATACAAATCGAGTTTTTGAGAGAACGGAGTATCGGATTTGAATAATCTAAAAAAACATTCAATTTGTAATGATTGGGAGAAGAGGTGATTAGTTTTTGGCAGAGGCAGGTCCTGCCATTTCAAAAATACAGAGCTAAATGTGCAAAAAATGGCAGTTTTTGAGTGAACTAAGCGCCCGATTTAAATGATGTAAAAAACTTTCTGCTTGTATTGACAAAACAAATGCTTTTGAGGATAAAAAATTATTACATCTTTTTTTATTTTCCATAAAATATTTTTGTAATTTTGGATTAAAAATTCAAAAAATTACGCAGGCCAAGCACAGTCTAAGCGCCACTCTTCCACAAATGTTTATGCAAGTGCGTTTAGACTATGACTATACAGGAGCACTTCTTCAATTTTGTGCAAATTAGGCAACTATTTTTTTTTTCTGAAATTGAATTCGAAATGAAATGACGATTTTTAATGTTCTGGAAATAATATTGATTTATGATTTACATTTGATTTGCTCAGATATAACAAGATAGCAAAAATAATGAAATTTACAGTATTTGTAATAATATATTTGAAAACGTTTAAAATTCTCGAACGTTTCTTTACAGTAACGGTTAAGTTCCAGCAATTTGCTTCAAGGCACGATGCCATACACCACTAGTTATTTTTATTTTTGAGAATTCAAAAAAATTAATATTCAGTCAGATATTATTTTGACACTTGTTTATACAAAAGAACGACCTAAACATCCTGATATATATTTGATATTGATTTCATTATTGATTTATCAAATTTATTTTATTTTCAGACTTTCTATTTGGGTTCTAATATTTACGCTGTTTATTGAACCAGAAATTTGTCTTGAATATCAAAATTCTGATGAACAATGTATAGAAACTGATAATAAAATCCATTGTGAAAGTTATCCTAGATGGAATCCTGACAGAACTGACATAATTTATTTACGATGCAAATGGGCAACCAAATCTAATTTAGGAGCTCTGAGCAATTTTATAAATCACCATCATGATTCAATCGACATTGATTTTATCAACAGTATAATAGAAGAAATATCTACTGGTGTGTTTAATCAACCACTAGGAGGACTTATTCGAAATTTGAACCTGGAGGATGTCAAATTGAGGGAAATAAAATCAAATGCATTGCAGGATTTCTATTTGTTAAAAGATTTAAATTTGAACAATAATGATATCCAAAGTATACAACCAGGTTGTTTCAACACAACAAATAATTTACAATATCTTAGAATTTCGCACAATAAATTGTCCGGCATACTTAACGAACAAAACTTTACTGGAGTAGGATCTGATCTCGAAGTATTAGATTTAAGTTTTAACAACATCGAAGGAATAAAAGAAAATTGTCTGACACGTTTCAGAAAACTTAGGTCAATATATTTATCACACAATTCTTTATCTGGAACATTAACCGAACGAATTTTTGCCGGCGATTTTCTGTCAACACTAGATTTGAGTTTTAATCAAATAGAGCACATAAAAGTGAGCTACTTTTCAAATTTCACAAAACTGACATCAATAAACTTATCTAACAATCGTTTATTCAAAATTCCATCTTTCGCCTTTAACACCGATTTATGGTATCTATATTTATCCAATAATTTTTTCAAAAATATTGACGAAGATACTTTTCCTACAGTCCACGAAATACAAGTACTCGACTTATCATCCAATGAAATTTCTGATATATCAGCATATTCTGGATTTACAAAATCATCTAAAATAACAGATTTGAAATTGGCAAATAACAATTTCGTAGATATCAGCAACTTTTTGACGGAACCTCGAATATATGAGATATCTTTGCAAAATAATCCTATCAAAAGCATCAGTAACAAGTTTTTTTGCAAAGAGTTAAAGGTTAGTGGAATGGATTTAGTGTCTGTAACAAATATTTCTATGTGCAATACTGGGAAAATATTTGATGCTTCTAAAAACCAAATTTTGGAAATGCCGGTTTGGACTGATATGAGGTCAGTGGAGTTTATTTTTTTGCAGCAGAATGAAATTACTAGTATTCCTGTTGGACAATTCGAAGGTTGTACTTCTTTAATTGGTTTGAATCTGGATAAAAATAAAATAACGACTTTGGAGCCTGGAGTATTCACCAGCATAAAATGTGCAAGTTTTCAGAATGTAGAATATTTGAAAACTTTGAAGCACCTACAAATTTCTCATAATTCTTTGTCGGGTACTTTGGACGCACAGAATTTCACTGGTTTAGGGAAAAGTGTTGCAGAATTAGACTTAAGTGCAAATTATATCGAAGATTTTAACGCCAGTTGTTTTGAATTAATGACAAGTTTAACTTTTTTAAACATTTCTCACAACCTTTTAACAACATTACCAGTTTTTCCACAAAACACTGAACTATCTACATTAATAGCATCTAATAACAATTTATCAAAAATTAAACCCGATACATTTTTCACGCCAAATTTGAACGAACTTGACTTAAAGTTCAACAATTTTTCAAAATCTTCACAATTCTTAGGTTTAAATTCGATAAACATTGGAAATTTGAATTTGCAAAACAACAGTTTCAAGGACATCAAATTTTCTTTGAAAATCAACGTTGCAAAATTATCCTTGGACAATAACACTATAAGTGGCATTGGTTTTGCAATTTTTTGCAAAAATGCTACTTTAAGTAATTTAAAGTTGCAAGTTATAGAAAATATATCCATGTGTAATACTGGTGATGTATTTGATGCATCATATAATGAACTAAGGGAAATGCCTAAATGGACAAAAATGAAGTCTGTACGAATTGTTAAATTGCAACACAATTCTATTAGCTATATACCAATTGGTCATTTTCAAAATTTCTATAAATTAGTAGTTTTAGATTTATCCTATAACAATATAGACTTTTTGGATACTGGAGTATTTTCTGGATTAACATCCCTTCAATCCCTGAAATTATCTTTCAACTCTTTGAAAACTGTTGACCATTATGGCTTATTTGGATTAGAGAATTTGAAAAGTCTTTATTTAGCAAACAACAAAATTATACGCCTGGAAAGCCAGGAACTTTTTCAAATGTTATCTGCGTTAAAATTCATTGATGTAAATCGAAATTCGTTTGAATGCCGCAAATTAATGGATATACTAAAAACTATCAAAAAACATGGTATCAGTCTGGGTAGAAACTTAGACTATAATGTAACAAATTTAGGTGGTATTTCTTGCAACGAACTTCACAGAAATCCTTTTGATTATTAACTCATTTGATTACTAAAATTCTATAAATCAATATTTAAATTTTTGGCAGTGAATTTCTATGGATTTATATTATGTAACATAAATCTTGTACAAGATTTGTTTTAAAATATATTATACATATAAAAGCATAATTCTTGTTTTATTAACTTTCCGTAGAGTAGTTATAGTAATGGGCTGAAAATCGAAAATGAAAATTTTTGCATTTCTCGACGTTTTGAAGATTTCTGAACATTTTGGCATACCTCAGACAAAATGGATATGTGTGTGTGTGTGTTTTGTATGTCCGCGTTTTCGGGCGCACGGATCAACCGATTTGAATGGTTTAAAAAACATTCGATCCCTATTGATAGAGAGATGTGCTGATTAGTTTTTGGCAAAGGCAGGTCCAGCCGTTACGGAGATACGGAGAAAAGAGTGCAGAAAATACAGATCGAGTTTTTGATAGAACGGAGTATCGGATTTGAATGATCTAAAAACCTTTCTGCTTGTATTGACAAAACAATTGCCTTCGAGGATAAAAACTTATAACATATTTTTTCATTTTCCATAAAATATTTTTGTAATTTTGGATTAATTCAAAAAATTACCCTAAGCACAGTCTAAGCGCCACTTTGGTACAAATGTTTACCTAAGAACGTTTAGGCTGTTTATATACTGGAGCATTTTTCCAATTTGGTGAAAAAAAGCTATTGAAAAATGTAAAAATGCCGCCAAGCTAAGCACAATATAAGTGAAAATGTCGCACAGAATTATTTTCAAATGCGTTTAGACTGTGACTATACGGGAGCACTTTTTCAGTTATGTGTAAATTAGGCAACTATTTTTTTTAACTTCCCGTAGGGCAAGTTATAGTAATCGCAAAAAATTCGAAAATGTAAATTTTAATAGATACTTTATGTTTGGAAACCTTCTGAACATTTTCGCATACCTTAGGAAAAATTGATGTATGTGTGTGTGTGTGTGCGTGTGTATATGTATGTTCGGATACAAATTTTCATTGACGATTTCGGGAACACGGATCAACCGATTTGAATAATTAAAAAAACATTCGATTCGTATTGATAAGGAAACGTGCTGATTAGTTTTTGGCAAAGGCAGGTCTAGCCGTTCCGAAGATACGGGGCAAAACGTGTCGAAAACGGTAACACAGTTTTAAAGAGAACGGAGCGTCCGATTTGAATAATTCAAAAAACATTTTATTTTTATTGACTAAATGAAGAACTGTTTAATTTTTTGAAAAGGCAGGTCCAACGACTTTGGAGATATGAAGCAAAAAGTAAAAAAATGAGCTGTTTGGCGGTCAAAAATGAACATTAGACATATGCACATCAAATTATCAGTTATTTTATAGAGATTTTAACAATAAGTATAAATTTCGTTTACATTTCTATGGGACGCGACGCTTACGCGCTTTGATATTTTGTCTTTATGCAGTTAAAGCAGTACGATTGCTTTGAAAATTAGTTCAGAATTTCCAAAATATTTTAAAATAAATGATTTAAGATAGAATGATTCAATATGGTTTGAAATTCTTTTAAAAGTTTCAAATCATTGATCAACTTTTATTGATTACTATTATTGATTATTTTTAATTACTCGAATTTTGAATTGCGGTACGGAAAGTTCCAGCAATTTGCCTTAAGGCACGATGCCCTAATTGCCTTAAGACCGAATTCCACTTACAGCTAGTTTAAATTGAATTCGAAATGAAATGACGATTGACGATTAATGTTCTAGAGATAAATTGATTTATGATTTATGATTTGCATTTGATTTTCTCAGATATAACAAGATAGCAAAAATAATGAAAGTTACAGTATTTGTAATAATATATTTGAAAACGTTTAAAATTTCTCGAATATTTCATTACGGTACGGAAAATTCCAGCAATTTGCCTTAAGGCACGATGACATACACCACTAATTACTTATACGATTAAATTTAAATTTACAATTCAGTTTCAAAATGAAAATATTACAAATGCGTTATTCTAATCGTAAGAAATATATCCTCAGATGGATTCATTCGGCACCTCTTGTTAATGTAAACTTTACAAATTTACATATTTTCAATTCCTCAGTGTACCTTTTATGAAGGATAAAATATATACTGATTATAATTATTTATTTGAAAATGTATAAAACAATGGTTGTAAATTATTGATCAATTTTTATTGATTACCCTTTTTTTCCCTCAAATATTATATATAATTCTGGTACGGCAAGTTCCAGCAATTTGCCTTAAGGCACGATGCCATACACCAGGAGGAATTGTCCTCTTATAAAATTAATCTTTTCTTCTTTTTCGCTAGTTACCTGATATATTGCGAGTATGAGTCACTGTTTCTAAGGTTATTTCATATTATATTATAGTTGTTGTCGGGTTCGATGATCTCAACTTCTTCACATGGTGTGAAAGTGTTTTCGAGATACGTCTGCGAGAAATAATTAATACAAACAAATGTGTGCTAGAGAAGAGCGAATTGGTTCTGAGATAATTGGAAAAGGTGAAGCAAACATTGTGTTTAAAATTGGTGGACTGAGGTTTTGGTACTGCCGGAGAAACAAACGGCTGATGAATGAATTTAAGGCAACTTCCGGGATTTATTAAATTCATACAACTAGAAGCACCACTTTTAGAAGCAACTTCTAATTTATTCTTCATTCCAAAATAATTAAATTATTTTATATAAAATTTATGCACTTAAATCTTGGTAATTTAATTACGTTTTTCTTACATCCCTGTAATAAGAACGACTTCTTTGAGGATTTTTACTGACCAAATCAGAATTAAGTGGGTGTGAAATGGAATATCTAAAATTAACTAATAGTAAAAAAAGAGTGCGCGTCAGATTCACACCCGATTGAAGTAAAACTTATTCGCTACTGTACAAGATGGCATTTCAGTAAAAATAAATACATCATATAAAAATTTTGAATAATGTTTATTAGTAATATGGCAATACTCGTGATGCACACATTTATTAGTGTTAACCATTATACACATTTATATAATGATAAATTATAAATTATATATTTATAATAGCAATAGAAATATGTATAATATTTAAAAACAATAATGTAATTAAAATCATACTTCAAGTATGACATGATCGGTTTGTCATTGTAATTAGCATTTATGACTTGGACCTTCATTAGAGAAATGAAGTAATTGCTGATTAATAAATTCTGTAATATTCGTTCACACATTGAATTATGTTAAACAACGCCTAAACAAATATTGTTTTCTCAACTTCACTCATCATGTAATAATTGTGTTTGAAGAACTTCATGTAATTAAAATTAACATACATTTGTTGACTGCTTGTATTTTTTTACTTTTTCGCTGGCGATATAATCTAATTTTTTGAACAGCTGTAATATCTGTCATGTCTAAAAAATATTTTCCATTTTAAAAACTTCAAAGATTTATAGAAACTACGAATAATATAGAAATAATTTCTAATTAATAAACTTACGTTTAGTACACGTTACAAATGTTTAATTTGTTTTATAATTTTTTTATATGGGTTTATACAAAAACCGACATTTCAGAAAACCGGTTTTCGAATTTTATATAGAAAATAAATTTTTGCTCGAATATTTTGTAATTTATCCGCAAATTTAGTGTTATTCACAGCAGTATTTGACTGAATTTATTTATTGTTCAATTTTATGGATAGTTAACAAAATTATTTTAATTTTAATTAGTAGAAATAGAAAATAATAGTTTATCTTGATTAAATAACTTTGAAAATAATTATTCGTTATTCATGCAACATTTTCACATATAAGAATGAAAATATTTTTTGATAGTGAAAGGAAAATTTTCGAATAAATAAAAATAATACATTTTTAAATAAAAAACATTCATTAAATTAAAAAAAAATAAAAAAATATTAGATACATGTCGATACATACTTGTTAATATCAATTTTAGTTTTAAAAATAATTAAGCTAAACTCGGGTATTGCCTGATCATAGCAATTTTAATTAATTAATTTTAAACATTCTAATTGTTTTTTTTTTGTTTAATAAAATATAATTTCAAAAAACTGAGAACGACTATCGAATTGCTTCTGAAATAGAAAATACTCTAATACTTGCGACCGAGCTTTTTGTTCTTTAATTTGTGGCTTCTAGGGTTTAAAACTCTTTTTTTTTTAAGTTAGAGTAGAGGAAGTTACTTCTTCAAGAAGAAGTCACACTGATTTAAATTAAAATATACTCTAGTATAAAAAATCTAAATTAATATATACAAAACCTTTGTGGGAACCATTGTAGACTGATAAGATATAAAATGTTATTGAACCGATATGATTTTAAGAATCAAAACTTTCATCTATCTTTTATATTTGGCTATATTGGTCATTTTTCATTTATACAGAGAAAACCGACTTTTCTACTAAAAAACGGTTTACGAATTCCATAATTTTCGCCAAAAAACGATTATTAAAACACTAAATCAACATTTGTACTACGATGTAACTTTACAATGTTTATTTATCTATGCCTATTTCCTTGTTGGTATCGGCAACGCATACAACGTTGATACCGGTACGCATACAACGACAGATTTCTATTCACATACACGACGGCTAATCACAATCGACCCGTATAGAAATGATATCATCGAGAGCGATTGACGAACGTTATTTCCGTTGCATTTGTACGGATTCACACCCTAGTCGCGCCTAAAGAAGTTTTACTTCAAAAATTAAATATCGTTGATTTCTGACCATTCAATCTCTTACAAGGAATCGTATTTCCTGATATCTAACCCATTATCAACTTGTCATCATCATCTACCAATCAAATGACCAACTCCCAAACCCACGTGCCTTCTTCTGAACTGGTAATGGGAATGGCTAAAGTTGACTTATAACCATGACATGCAAAAAAAGACATTCTGTAACTCGTGTTGTTATGTAATGATATTCAATTTTTTTCTTAATTCTTCATTTCAGTTCATTGCATTCTATTTTGTAGACTCACGAATGA